CAATGGAGTTCGCGATTACTGCATGAAAGAGGAGACGAGAGTCGCAGGTCCATGGGAATTTGGTAAAATTCCTCTCTCACGTAATTCTAAGACTGATTGGGCTCTTGTTAAACAGGCTGCTAAGGCAGGTGACTATGATAAAATTCCTGATAATATATTAGTTACGCATTATTCAAATATTCAGAAGCTTTACAAAGACAATTGTAAAGTGACATCTTCTTCTACTGTTCGTGGAATATATATTCATGGAGACGCAGGCATTGGTAAGAGTTATCTTGCCAGATCTTTATTTCCTGGTGAGCCTGTGTATTCTAAGAATCCTAACAAATATTTTGATGGCTATCAGAACGAAACTGTTATTATTTGGGATGATTTAGACTTAATGCATCCTTCAATGTTTACGTATTATTTTAAGATTTGGACTGATAGATATGGTGTTCGTGGTGAGATTAAAGGTAGTACGATACCTTTGAATCATAAATATTTTATTTTTACATCACAATATTCATTTGAAGAAATGTTTACAGATCTTAAGACTCGTGAAGCGATGGGAAGAAGATGTTTCATTTATGAGATGGCACATTATAAAGATATTAATCTTAGAACTCAATTTGTTATTCCTGATATGATTGATCAGTTCAATCGAGATACACCTCCTGAAATTGAGAAGTTTATTGTGAGAGATAGATCTGCCTTAATCGAAGCGACAGCGAGATTATGATTGGATAAAGGGATTTAAGGTAAATAGATAAATAACTAGATTGAATATTTTATTTTTATTTAATTATGGCGAAGCCGGCAAGAAGATTATTTAGAAGAAAAAGAAGAACTACTAAGAGCAGAATGTATAAATCTGTTAGTACACAGGTTGTTACTCAAAGAGTTGAAGGTTATTCTATGGTTCAACTTGCTAACGTTGGATCTAGAAGAATAACTGCTTTTTTTAATACGTTTACTCCGACTGGAGCTGAATATTTCAACGTTAGAGATATTTTATCTGGTTCACAGTCTTTTATAAGATATGCTTCATTATTTAAAAGATTTAGATTAGATTATATTCAGGTATCGGCTTATTGTGATCATTCTCATTCTACTTTGAATGGTTATACATTTGATTATGCTCTTAATTTTTTCCCTCAATATTACGGAAATACTGGTGATACTTTAGTGTCTGAGATAAGATCTTCTGATCAAACTTTAGTTGTGCAAAATCTTAGACTTAAGTATACTAAAAGATGGGCACCAGTGTTAGATGGACCTAATGGTACTGGTTATGGACAATGGATGCCATTAAATGGTGAGACAGCTAATGCTATTATTGGACAAGTTTCTGTTGCTTCTCTTCTTCCACCGTTATCTTCTACAACAACACATGCTCTTGGCATGGTTACAGTATATGTTGGTATATCTTTTGCTGATAAGAATTTTTAGGTTGGGCTTGACCGCAGCGACAGCAAGGTCATGATTGGATATGTGGGATTAGATAATTAATGCTTAAATATCCACCATTTTTTTATATATTATAAATAAATAATTTTGACCCGCCGCCGTGCCTTAGTATTATAGGCACGGCGGGACGCGGGTCAAAAACGTATCCCGTTTTTATATATAATAATCTATTTAAAACGGTTCCGTGTCGTGGAACCGTTTTTAATGCATTTTTAATTATTAAATCTTGTATATTTATATATATAATGGCTGCGGAAAAAAAGGCTGCGATTGCAAGGTCATGATTGGATATGTGGGATTAGATAATTAATGCTTAAATATCCACCATTTTTTTTATATATTATAAATAAATAATTTTGACCCGCCGCCGTGCCTTAGTATTATAGGCACGGCGGGACGCGGGTCAAAAAACGTATCCCGTTTTTATATATAATAATCTATTTAAAACGGTTCCGTGTCGTGGAACCGTTTTTAATGC